GGTGGCTCATGTTGGGTGTATTGACCCCTCGTGACATGACCCTTCCTTTTGTTAATTTTTATTATTTATTTTTATTTTTATTTAGTTAAAAGAAAACATTTAAAAAATTAAAAAAAGATAAAAATTCGCTAATTGATTTGATTGGTTACATTTGTAATATACAAAGATCCATCAATCAATAATATTAATAATATTATAATTAGTAGCAACGATGACAACGAATCATCGTTTGTTGAGGATGATAAAATCTAGTTTGTATAGGAGTGATCGAAGTAAGCGCTAAGACAAAATTTATAAGCTTTCAAAATATTCTAATGAACGTTTTATCAATTATTCAATAGTTTGTACAAGCATTAAAGGACAAGATCTATGAACAAAATATTCTAACGAACGTTTTATCAAATATTCAATAGTTTGTATAAGTAAGTTTTAAGGACAAGATCTATGAAGCTTATAAAATATTCTAACGAATGTTTTATCAATTATTCAATAGTTTGTACAAGTGTTAAGGACAAGATCTATGAAGATTGCAAAGTATTCTAACGAATGTTTTATTAATTATTCAATAGTTTATGTAGGAGTAATCGAAGTAAGCTTTAAGGACAAGATCTATGAACAAAATATTCTAACAAACGTTTTATCAATTATTCAATAGTTTATGTAGGAGTAATCGAAGTAAGTTTTAAGGTCAAGATCTATGAACAAAATATTCTAACGAACGTTTTATCAATTATTCAATAGTTTGTACAAGTGTTAAGGTCAAGATCTATGAACAAAGTATTCTAACGAACGTTTTATTAATTATTCAATAGTTTGTACAAGTGTTAAGACAAGATCTATGAACAAAATATTCTAACAAACGTTTATTAATTAATTAATAGTTTGTGTAGGAGTAATCGAAGTAAGCTTTAAGGACAAGATCTATGAACAAAATATACTAACGAAGGTTTTATCTATCATTCAATAGTTTATATAAATTTCTCTTTTAGTTTAACTTATATTTAATAACATCACTATAATCATTTTGTTGTTGTTTATTGTTCTAATCATCATTTACACATGTATATAGGAATAAATGTAAAAGAAAAATTTATTGTATATTCTTTCGAGTTAGAAAGTGATTGGTAACAATAATTAATTATTGATTTTAAAATTTTTTAAATCCCATTTTTGCACAAAGTAGGTTTTCGCCAAATTTCTTTATATTACAAAGTAAAAGATGCGCAAAAATTTTGGAAAGAAGAAACACATCTCTAATTGTTTAATAAATCAGATATATTTTATACTCTTTCGAGTTGGCAAGTGATCGGTAACAATAACCAATTTGATTTTATAGAGCATGCAGAGTTATGATGCTAGCCAAAAATTGACAAAAATTAAAAAGTATTTATTTATTTATTTAACATGATGTTATTATTAAAGTATACTTTTGTAATTAAAGCACAAAATTCGTCTGATGGCTTGATTGTAAGGTTTCTGGTCTAATATACCTACCTATATATATATATAAAACGTTGAAAAATCCAAATCGACAAAATAGTTTGAGCTTTGAGAAACAGTTTGGGTTAGAAACCTTACTTGATTGTCAGATCCATTTAATCATACAATTTTAATAATATCAAAAACTAATTTTCAATTTAATGATTTAGCGTAGCATATGCACTGTTTAGTATCCTACTACTACCATTTAATTTATTTATTATTAGTATAATTTGCATTTGTATGATTGTAATTAAGAAAGAAATTTGATA